CTACCCCTATTAATTGGAAAAGCTTCTTACAGTGAAGTCTGACATACCGATAAAATACTGTAATGAATTCTTCAAGTGCAAATAGGGCTGCTGCTAACCAGTGAGAAACTGCTTGCCCTGTCTCTAAGCAGGTGGCACAACGGAGATTGCCAGTGTGGAAAAAGAGAGGCTCAGAGTGACATGGTGGAGAAGAGCCAGCAGCGCAGGTCTTCACTGGGAGAAAGATGCACTGGTGCTGGTGTATGGCAGTGCCATGACTGCTCTCTGCTGCCCGTGGGCAGCGCTGGAGAGTGGCAGTCAAAGAGGAGCCATGGGGTTGGTGTGGGAACATCCAACACTACAGTGCAGCCACAGAAGGCTTGGAGATGATAACAGGGTGAGCTAATGCCCTCTCAGTCCTTTCCGTTCTTTGTTCTCCGTATAAATCCAGTGTTATGCATGGCTAGTACTGGGCAAATCATGCCCCTCATCAGTGTAACATCTCTTTTCTTTAAGCATCCCGACCTGACCTCAGTAAGTCCTAGTTTAACAGGCTGACCATGGTTTAAAGATAATAGTCAGGATTTGGAACTTGTTGAAATAACTCTGGTGTCTTCAGGAAAGTTGACTGCTTCCATCAGGCTGAAACTGGTCCACTGTCCTTACTTTTCCATGGAACGGTATCACTAAGACATTTTCTTATCAGACAGTAACGTGTTTAAAATATGTGAAATGCAATCTCTCTTTTTGTAATGTTCGTACAGCCTTTGGTGATACAACCTATTGAATTCTAATAAATAGCTCCTGTTGATTTAGTAAGTCTATAGTGTTTGGTTTAAAGTAAGAATAACAAAAAAGTGGGGAACACTGAAAACAGATTTCAATATCATATGTAGCTAGTACAACATTGAAATTAGGTAATTTGCTCTTATACTGTTCTCTCTACAGCGGTTAAATATTAGTGAAGTTCTAAAATGAAACAGAAAGGTTGTAAAGTAGCTTGTAGAGATACAAAAACAGCTGAGATTTTATCTAACTGAAATCTCAGTGTGGTTTGTGACTTAATCTCATATTCTGTGCTTGAATGTGACAAGTAATCTTAAAGTCTTCTCTCTCCCAATCTTTAAATTCCATAGTCTTCTATTTTAGTGACACTTATTCCTTCCTCCTTTGTGCCACATGTGAAAGTAAAATGTAACCTCTTACGCTGCTGTTGATCACAATGTTAAAATAGAGTTTTTAAGTCTTTCTTCAAAAGTGTATTTGACGTTTCTTCTTCATAAGTCCTGGAACTTGGTTGTAGGAATTGGATATATGCTGCTGCTGCTTCCATCAACATTATCAGAGACTTGTCTCATTTGAAATAAATCTAATAAAAAATTTTGAAAGTAATGCAGTGTGTTGGGATGCCAAGCGGCTCAGTTCGAAGGAAGTCTGAACTGTCAGCTTGTCTAGACCAGACAGCTTCTGCCAGCTTTTGTGCATGCCATGATAAATATTCTGACGGGAGTACCACTTTCTCTTGCAAACATCACTAATAAGATATTTCTGTTTGATTGCTTTTAAGATGTAAGCGAAGAATAGTTTTGCACAACTAAAATATTTATAAATACTTTTCATTTGATTGGGAGCTGTAATATGAAATACACCCAAAAGCAAACTAGTGTGTATTTGATAAATTGTCTGCCTTTTTGTTGTCTGCATTAAATTAACTATTGTTTACTATTTCCTGGCTGTTTTTATCACAAGAAAAATTCAATGCTTATATAAAATTAAAAGCAGATTGTATTTCACCCAGGAAGAATGCGTCGTCATCGGAGACTATCACAGACTGAATTCTGTCAGACTTCTCAGCAAATTACATTGACATTTTGGGGTGATGGAATTCACCTCATTTGCACTCAATATCCAGGACTAGTAATTACGAACACATGCCAGCAACCTCACAGTTGTATTGATATGTATACCTTATACAGTACGTCTCGGTACAATGGCTAGGTTAAAACATTAGATGTTAACTTTTTTGGAAAATATTTTATTTGTGTGGTGATTAGACTACTACTTTTATTAAATATTTTTGCAAATGCCTTTTAAATGTTTTTATTGCCCAGTGCATGAATTCTTATAAATGGCGAGTTGTCAGCAGGTTATCTGGGAGCACAATGGAAAGGCACAGGCATGAAGCATGCAAGGTCTGCTTTGAATGAAGCACTGTCCATGTTTGATCAATCCATTTTGTTTTATTCTTTTAAACCACTTACTGAAGTGCTGGGCCCCGACTTTCCTACAGAAGTAATAGATTTATATGATTAACTACATGGTTAGCAGCAAACTTCAGGGCTTTAATTTCAATGTTCAAATCAAGATACTGATTCAAAGTGAACAAATAAATATTTCTGAAGAGAGTCTCATGGTAGGGGGAGGATATGTCAGATTTTTTTTTTCTGGGTATCTTTAAGAGGCAGTACTATGTTGAGGGTTTTTTGCTTTAACCTAGTTTATTCCAGTTCTGAAGAGTGCTCTGTATTTTATAAAAACTGTATTGTCATCCACTTACTACTTTTTTATTCTCGGTTTGGTGTGGTGGCTATTTTTTGGTTGGTTGGTTTTTTGTTTTGGGTTTTTTGTAGGTTTGGGTTTTTTTGAGACCTCTCTGGAGCATACAGCACACCTCCTTTTAATGTTGTTTGATACACAACTAAATGCAGAGAACCTTTTTTGCTTCTGATTTTGGTTGGGTTTTTTTTCTAAATCTACATGGTGAGTATATTTGTGTATAACACAAATTTCTGTTACTTACAGTATGTGTTTTATATGTGAAAGAAAAAGGTGATGTGTCCTTCTCTTACGTAACAGATATGGTAGGCAGAATAGAGATCAGCGGCCGAGAGTCTTACCTACTTTATTTTCAAAGTACTACTTTTGGTGAGGTTTTAAGGCTTGGAGCTATGGATTTTAACTAGTTATATTTAAAATTAAAAAATAATTTAAATTATTTTCTTTAATCCTTCATGGCTGTGGAATTTTGAATCAGTTCAAGCTGTGTGGGTTCATGCTTGGCAAAAGGGAAGAGGCCTGACCCACCAGAGCGTGGAAGTCCCCTTTTCCTTTCCCAAAGCTAAGATCTACTTGGGGTATTCTATTGCTTGCTACAGGATAAACTTTAATCATAGTTCAAACCAATCTGGGGGCAATGGCACGAGAAGCCATGTGCTAATTTCATCATGTAATTTGGGCCAAATCTGAATTTTTTTTTGGTCTTGCCATGAATGCTGAGGTAGCAGCTTTGCCCTTTCTGAATGCCTACCAAAGTCACAGAGGCCAAAAGCCCTTGGCCACATAAGAATCTCTTAAGAGTCAGCAGATTGTTTGCAAAGTGTTCGCCTTTGTCTGGTTATCATGTAAGGAGCATATTTTGTGATTCTTGGGATAGGGCCTTCAGGCTAGGTTATCACTCTTGCTGCGATAGGAAGAATTTCCAAAAGTGATGGCCTGTAGAGGCCTTGATTTACCCTATTTTTCTGCATAGCTCCCAGGTGCACACTGCAGTGACCAGGAATCCCAGTCCTCTGGTCACATCTGGCAGCAGTTGGAATTCCTTTTTCCTTCTGAATTCCAGCCAGCCACCATTTAGAATCAAAGTTTTCAGGCTAATTGAGCCACAGGTTGGTTGGTTTTTGTATTTGGTTTGGAGTTTTTTTCCCGCTTCTGCTTCTTCCACTATGACAGATCAGTTTACTCCTAAAGAAGTGAACTTTTTTCTTCCATATTGTGTGTTCCGTGTTTTTTTTTTGTGTTGGGGGTGTGTGTGTGTGCATATGGGGGGGGGTGGTAGGTTTTTTTTTTTGTTGAGAAGGGTGTGTTTGGTGGGTTTTTTTGGTTTGGGGGTTTTTTGTACATAACGATTGTGTGAAAGTTCTTGAAGATATGCATGTTTCTCCCACTTCTACATTGTGACATTATTTGTTTTTAAATCTCAAAGCAAAGGCAGCTAGTGTTCTACATGTTCACATGGGCCTTAAGAGTCATCTGATGTCTGGGAATTTTTCTGAAAATGAGGACCTAACTCTTAAGTAATATCTTCCTTTTTCACAGAAAAAGATGAATGATGTCTTTCTTTCTACAGTGTTTCTAAAAGGTGATATATATATATATAAACTTTTTTTTGCTTAAAAATAGTAAACTGAACATGTGCTTCCCACATTTTCTCAATCCAGTAGGCCAGAGGCCAACCATACCTTCTTTGAAATACTGAAGTAAGTAGGCACTCTGAATATTCAGCTGCTCAGGTAGATAAAATGCATCTTTAGGAATGTAACTTTAATTTTAAAAATATTGATACTGTGTGTATTAGTGGGGTTGATCTATCATGGGGCTAATGGAATTTAAATTTATGTTTGAATGGTGATGTATAAGGTCCATGTCTTGTTTGTGTACTCATAATTGCATATTGTGCATAATTTGAACGTGTACTTTGGCATGTTATGTGTGTACACCTGTATGTAATAATGTAAAATTTTAAAATGCCATACAGTGGGTTTAACCAAAGTAACGGCAAAGTTTGAGAAAGTTGGTTGCTTTCTCAATTTTAAGCCTACATATCTCCTTTCCAGGCAAATACTTTTAACTAAGTATGTGTTCCTAATAAATCTATTCAAAGTATACATTATTCATGTTCATGCTTTAGCATATTTTGGTGTTTCATAGCGTCAAAACAGTGTAGTCTGGCATTTTGAGTGATATTTATGAACATTTTTTTTGGCTTATTTAAAATACCAGTTTACATCTAGAATGCCATAAAGAGGACAGCACATATAAAAGGCCGCACTAAAACTTCTGATGGGACACAATATTTTTGGATACAGAACTATAATTAGTTCTGTGTTTTCAGAAGAAAACATCTACATCTAATGCTGTATTAATGTTAGGAGTGCTTAGTGTAATGTTGACTCAATTTTATTGAAGCTATTTTGGGGAGATTTGTAATTCTTTGAATAGCAGATTATGTAATAAATTACGCAATGGTAAATCTTTCATATGTAGTTTATGGATAATTTTCAAATATTCATGTTTTTGAGAGCCTGTCTGCGGGATTTTCCACCAGAATTTGAGAACAGTTTATTAAAGTTAATGTAACATAAAATTGGGGCAGTGGGGGATGGGGAGAATTCCTCCTTCCCCTCCAAACTATAAGGAAGAGAATTTATAAATTCAACAAAAATCGCATGCCGCCTTATTTTTATTTTGTGTAAAAGAGGAAATAAGTGTAATACAGACCCTATGAAACCAGAAATGTAACATCTTTGTATATACAGTTGTATGTTTCTAGGGTGATTGCATAAACCAGGACATCCTACACCAAGCACCTCAGACCCACCAAGCCAGAGCGGCTGCATTCCAGCTGCTGACTGCTGCAGGTACCTGGCGAGTATCCTGTGCCTGAGCTATGGCAATTGCTTGGAGGACTGCCAGAGGGCCAGCCCACCAGCATACCAAACTGGACTGTTACAGCATTTTTTGAGCATAGATGATTGAATGACTTGCCCAGGAATGTTCTTTCATCTACTAAGCCACACTGATTTTTAACTTTTTTTTTAATTAATGGAAATTTATCATAGAGTTTTTGAAAAGTGTTGTACCTTTTTGTAGTTGGTATCTGCTTCTAACTACTCTCTTTCTGCTAAATTTTAAGTAAAAAATTATTTTTAATTGAGCCATAGGTTCACATATATGTATGCCTGTATACATGGCCTCTCCGTATATACATAATATATCTTTTTCTTAGTTTTCAAACAATTCTGTTTTCTTTCCAGTGGGATGCCATAACTGAAATGGATGAACACAATCGTCCCATTCATACTTACCAGGTATGTAATGTGATGGAACCAAACCAAAACAACTGGCTTCGAACAAACTGGATCTCCCGTGATGCTGCACAGAAAATTTATGTGGAAATGAAGTTTACCCTGAGGGACTGCAACAGTATTCCATGGGTACTGGGAACCTGCAAGGAAACTTTCAATCTCTACTACATGGAGTCAGATGAGTCTCATGGAGTAAAATTCAAGCCTAACCAGTACACAAAAATTGATACTATTGCAGCTGATGAGAGCTTTACCCAGATGGACTTGGGCGACCGCATTCTTAAACTCAACACAGAAGTTCGTGAGGTTGGGCCAATAAACAAGAAAGGATTTTATCTTTCTTTTCAGGACATTGGAGCATGCATTGCTTTGGTCTCAGTCCGTGTTTATTACAAAAAGTGCCCTTTCACGGTCCGTAATTTGGCTATGTTTCCTGATACTATTCCAAGGGTTGATTCTTCCTCTTTGGTGGAAGTACGGGGCTCCTGTGTGAAGAGCGCTGAGGAACGTGATACTCCAAAATTGTATTGTGGAGCAGATGGGGATTGGCTTGTACCTCTTGGACGATGCATCTGCAGCGTAGGGTATGAAGAAGTGGATGGCTCCTGCCATGGTAAGAAAACATTGTTTGATTTTATTTATTTATTTATTTATTTTTAAAAAATAGTCTTATGATGTTATATGCACAGCAAATGGCTCGTTGTATATTGGAAATATTGCATCACATTTTCAAGGAATGCCTCTTGTCCAGAAATAAGCAAGGTTACTTGAAGTCAAGATATTGTGGTTTTCTAAGAAAACATTCAGTTACTGAAGATGACCTTCATTTTGTCTAAATGTAGGCGCCGACAATGTACATGTGTATAGATCAGCTGGTCACTTTGACTCCTTCCGTAGTTACTGGAGATAAGTGCATGCTGTGGAGCAGAATTCCTCTCCAATGTTTGAGATATTTATCTCAGGATGAGATGAACAGTGACTGGAAAAAAAAAAAAATTTTCCTCCATGTGTCTAAGAAGGGAATCCAGTCAGTTAACTTGGACTGAGATCTTTCCTGTAAGCACATATAGATAGAGGAGATGACAAGATAATGTCATTATCCATGCTTCTGTAAAACAAAGGGTTTTAAATGCCTCCATGAATAACATGCATGTTAATGTAGTAGAAAATTAGTAGGTATCAAGTTCAGTTAGAGACGTTTCAGTCCCTAATAGAGTTAGTGCAAAAGGTTAAAATCAGAAGTGCTCAAAATGGTTTTATCACAATATATAAGTAACACTATATATCTAGTACTGTTTTTTCACAGAGACTAATGTACAAATTGTTTGTGAAGCAGCTATTAGTACATCAGTTAGTTGCTCAATGTTGTTTGCCACCTTGTATCTTAAGAATTGTCTTACCTGAGGATAGCTGTGCTTGGTCTCTTCAAGAATTTTGCAGAGACTGCACTCTCTGCTGGTATGTATAGAACAACATAGCACTGCACCTTGTCACTATGACAGCAAATTAAGGATGTTTCAAATCAAAGTTTCAACTTGGAGATGACTATGAGGGGAAAAGTATTTTCTTCTCTTATCAGCCCCTTGCTTTCAAAGGCAGGACAGTGAACACATGCAGGAGCAAAAATCCTGTCTTCTGCACAGTCCAAGTGTTGTTGTGGTTCATTAACACTCCGTCTGCCACTCTTGAAAGACTGGTTGCATTTGTCAATCTTTGTGATAACTGGATTTCATGCACAAATGGAAAAATTCAGATTACTTAAACTTTTGTGCTATTTATATCATGAATACGTTGCTAAAACTCCGTAAATGCTGTGGTATACGTGAGTGTAGCCCAAGTCTCTGAGATTTTGTGGATTAAATTTGAGACTACTATCCATGGAGAATGTGCATGTTGAGACTTATTTTTCACCTGCCAGGATTGCTGGATAGGTGACACTTACTTAATCATAAAAGGTGTGCATCTTTACATACTGCACAGTTTCTTAGTAGTTAGTTGTTTTGTTAGCTTCAGAGTTACTAAAGGGTATGTGTATTTTTTATGTTCTCTTTTACTCTAGTTTCACAACGACTTGAGAATAAGGTACTTTTTCTGTAGTAATGATTGTGAAGAAAGCGTTAGTAGCCACTGAGATACCAGTCTGCTTTGGCTCAACATTTGGTTTGTAGCAAAAAGGAACAGAAAGAGTCCATATCCATAAATTACACAAGTGACATTGCTATTGCCCAAATATTTTGCTTAAGAGCTCCTCAGATTTGATGGTATTAGACAAGCTGCACAATAACTTTGGATAATAAAGCACTAAAAGCGCACTATGCATTGTAATCAGAAAATGAAATTCACTTTGTTTTCTGATCTTGCCAGCATTAATTATCAAAATATACTCATTGCAAAGATACAATTTTGACATTGCCATTACTGGAAGCAAATATAATTTTCTACATAAGGTCAAAAGGTTTTTCTCTTAATGGGATAAGGATTTTTTTCAAGACATTAACACTCAATGGATTTCTGTTCATTATGTGAGTGAGTCAGACTTTAGAGCTGTACATCAGCAATATAACCAGCAACCAAAGCCCACGAAAAAGATCTGGAAACTTTTCTGCTATGCAGAGACTCCACTCGTTAATTTAATTGGCCATCCAGCCTGCTGCTGAACAGGTACTTCCTAAATGAAGTGGAATACATAAAGCCATGAGCGTGTGCATATTCTTATCTATTTGCCCCAAGAGTAACAAATTACTATTTTAGAAGATTATAATCTAGCAGAGCTTCCATATGTGTTTTGAAATCATTTTCATAGGTGTCTGATGTCCATTTAGGCATCTTTAGCATATTTTAGTATTAGTACTTTTTCTGAAGGTTTCTTAAAGTATGTTTATCTTGTATTCCTTCATGAATGCCGTGCCAAAGGCAAGCCTAAATGTGTAAGATGCTTTCAAAACTAAAGGACAGCAATTTAATTTAATTAGTGCCCACTCTCCAGCTCTTGTGCTTAAAACATGAGGCAGAAGAGTTGCCGTCAGGGTGGCCGTATTTCCCTTAGTGCCAAAGCTGCTGGTGGAGATACATGCTTGAGCAGCTGGGAATGCATGCTTACAGTGTGACTGTTTGAGTATTGTGAACTGAACTGAGATCCCTACCTATGTTGAGAGCAATCTTTCAGATAGCCATAATGTCCTGTTTTGAGACTTTGCTCTTGGCTGAGACACGAATCTTAAAATTAGAGTTTAAAAGATTTGTCTCTTGTGAATACATCCGGAACTAACTCTTTCATACCCATTAAATCATAAAATACCTGAACATTTTTAACTTTCTAAGGGAAAAATTGTAAAATTTACATTTGGCTTGTTTTCACACAAGCAGGGGGTAGGTGGGGGGAGAGAAGAAGCTGCTACATCTTAGCAAGTCTGCTAAGAAGACCTGAGATGTATTTATACAATCTTCATGTCTTCTATGTCCCTCCACCAAATCCCAACTCCGAGCACTTTTGTCCCTCCCATTCCACTGATGGAGTTACAAATCTGAGTCTTGGAAGTATTTGATGGCATTCTGTCAGTGCTTCTTGTAGACATACTCAAAACTGGTAACGATTTCTTTCTTCTGCATGAAAATAACTTTCAAAATAATAATTTTCTGTTTTGCAATCTGTTCTGGCAAGTAATTGGGTGGTGGGCAATACTTTCTAATACATCAATATTTTTTCCTACTTGGAAATGGTGTCAAACTTCAAATTGTACATCAGCACATGGCTCAGGGGGGAATAATAAGCTCTTCATAGTAAATATGGCTTATCTGTCACAGAACTTAAAAAGTAAATTTCTGTTTTGATATGGAGATAAGCACTGCCTATTCAGGAAGTACTAAATGGCATAAGAAATCATATTCTGCCTTTGTCACTGCTCATAGTTTCACAAAGCAGCAAGAATGGGAATGAAAAAGTTTTTGATCAGTCTTACCACTGCTGTTAAAATCATAGGGAAGCAAGTAAAGTAGAATTTGGCAGTTGAAAGTAAAGGGCAACATTTACGTTATTTCAATATGTGTCGGTTTTATACATATGTCTTTCTGTCTGTGAATCTATCAATATTCACTATCCATTGTATTTGCTTTTAAAAGCGTCATTTAGAGTGAAAGTGTCTGAGAAGAATCGCAATTGGATTAAAATATCCATATTTATTAAATGTATACCCAACGTGTCTAGAAGAGTTCAGAGATATGTTGATAGAAAATTTTTCATTCATCTGGGGACTGTCTTTCTTTTCTGAAGTCAGTGGGGAAAAAGCCAATTGATTACAAAAGGTTCACAGTTATTTGTGTGTCTTGTGCATTTCTTGATGGCATAACCTGAAAAAATGCCATCTTCTCTGAACTGATTGTGTAAACAATCTTTCGCCCTTTGATTTTAATCTACTTTCAAGATTTTTTCTCAAAATCCCAAAATAGCAGCAGCATTCATGTATTCTTCTGTTTCTTTAGGCATTAATAAATGAGTTACTACCAATAATATGGCAATGCTAATCATAAATGGCTCTAATATGAAGTCCTGCTTTGCTAATCATTGATACCAACTCTATTCACAAGTCACAGCATAGAAGGAGGAGATGCTGCACAGGATTCTAATAAACTTCACTTAAAAGTAGCAAGTTCCATGTCATATCCTATCTGAATGTCAGTCCAAGGCAAGAGTTGTGCTAAATTTAACAAATGTATCATATACACAGGCCATATCAGGGCTTTGAGTGGGGTTTTTTTGCACAAAAAGGAACAATCATGACAAGGAACACTATATAAACTTTATTACAACAGTTCAGTTATTTTTAGATATGATATACTAATAATTGGGTGACTGTTAAATGGAGTCTGATTCTTTAATGGTTTACCAAAAATTAGCTGAATTACTCAACGTTAGCAATTAATTGAAGAGAAAAAAATCAATTATATGTAGCAAATACTGATTATTATAGTAATTTGATAATTTATTTTAGAATCTTAACTAATCAAACACAGTGCAGAATTGTATTTTAATTGTAAGAAGTTGATTATTCTTGAGGAATATTCTCAGGAACCCCCCAGCCCCCAAAGGACATTGTGTGGTATGGTTGAAGAAATTTTTAGAATGTAAAACAACAGGCATTAACAGACGCATCTGGTTTATTTTAATTAAAACAAATACAATTAGAAGTGGGAATGTAAAATTCAAATTCTTTGAACTCGAATTGACTGAACAACACTTCCTAGGGATACTAATGCCTGAATGCATTGAGCGTTTGTTTAATTGAACAAGCACTTCTTTCTGTTATTCGTTACCTGAATTTGTAGTAATGTTTCAGTGTTAGAATTTCTATCTTGGCAGCCTATCTTCAGCCATTTCGTCTGATTTGATTCGAAAATATTTTGATTTTGCACATACGAACTAGCTCCATCCTCATATACACATATAGCATGCCTGTGTTACTGGGAAATGACAAAGTTAATGATACCATCATGCTTTAGTTCCCTGTCTGTTGGCATGAAAACAGGAAAAGTAAAAAAATATGTACTTTGGAACAACAAGTTTCCTGATAGTTACAAAGATACAATGTTGCATAAGGTTCCTTTTGTTTTTTCTGC